TCCGATTGAAGTTTTAGCTGAAATTTGGTATGCGTAAACTAGACTGAATGAATAAGATGCTCAAAAATTTTCATCAAAAAATTCCACCGGGAACCACCCCAAATGACGACCGCCGGACAGAACCTTCTAAATAAGGGCTTATTTGATCTTTTTGGTTAGTACGTGGGCTTATTTGCCCCTTTTCTCTAAATTTAATTATTAATAGAAGTTTTGTTTTTCTATAATTTTAATTACTTTAATTATAGGTTGTAATAAGTTTAATGTGTTAACAGACAAATATTTAAAGAACATTTAAGTAATTCACCAAATATGCAATATAAGATATCATTCAACCAAACAACTTAATGTCACATTTCCTTAATCGTAATCAAACACAAATGAGTTACACATTAAACACATTCTCATCCATCTAACATACCCGATAATCTAACATTCTCATGACAATCTGACATTTCTTGAACCAAACGGGCCCTAAGAGTTGTTCTTATTGGAACCACTCAGATGTGGTTCCAATAAAAAGAATGTTTAACGTGAAAAATGCGAAATTGTCACTTTTATTTCGATACATTGCACATTTAGGCTCAAGTATTTCAATTTTTCGCAATGACAAAAATGTTCACCTATTTATAAAAATTTCACCGCATTTTAACTGAATCTACTGCACTTTTGGAATCATCACATCTCAAATCTAATACACCAAAATCATTCTCATTTTTCACATCATTAATATTCTCTTTATTTGATAATATATAGGGTCAAGTAGTTCACATACAAAGTGCGCCTCCCTTTTTTTTGGCGAAATTGACACCGATAATATCTACTTTTACACATTTTACAAAAATAATCCCTACTTGAAAAGTTCACAGCAATAATCCCTACTATTTAATTGTTTCACAAAAATAAACCGAGTGCTAACGATGTTAAGTTTTCCGTTATTTTTTTATTTTAAATATATTGAACCGAAAATATATAAACAATGACACTACTATATTTGAGGAGTTAATCTTGTTTCTACTAAAAAATTAATTTTATATTCAATATTTTCATAAAACATAATAGAAATATTTTTCACAAAACATAATACTCTTCAAATTCTCTATTCTCTTTCATTCTATGTCCATATTTTATTAAGATTCATTTTTGTTATTCATTATAATAGAGATTTCGAAGTAGTTTTAGTAATAATACATTAAATATTAATACAATTATGTAGAATATTGAATTAAACTCAAATATATTAGTTGATCGTAGAAAAAGATTAAACTCAAATATAATATTATTAACTTTTATACATATTTTTGGTTTGATATATTCAAAACTTAAAAAAAAAAACGGAAAAGTTAACACCGTTAGCACTCGGATTGTTTTTGTGAAACAGCTAACTAGTATGGCTGTATGGATTATTTTTGTGAAATTTATTAGTAGGGATTACTATTGTAAAATGTGTAAAAGTATGGATTATTGGTGTCAACTTCACCTTTTTTTGTGCTCCTCCCTTACAAAGTGAAAATTCATCGCGTGTGTGTGTTGATATAAGATCAAGAGCTAATAATAGGTGGTGCATCGTAACATATGTGCATTGTGATGCACACTACTACTCTGGATTGATTAGGGCGCGGTCCAGAATGGTCCGGTAAATTAGTAAAACCCGTAATGTACCCGTGAGGTTTTTAACGGTCCGGTACGGTCCGGTTTTAAGGATGCAACCATTCGGTACCATGTCATTTCGGAACGGTACAAAACGGTACGGTACAATGCCAAACACATACTAAAAATTTGAACAAATCTTGTAATTAGTAGATATCATCACACCAACCAACTCACATGTAATGTTGATATAAATACAAGAAATTGCATATATAGGACTAAAATTCACAAATAAACAAATAGTGCAACACAATTAAGAAAGAGTATAGCAAAACGATGACGCACGAGATAAATATCATCCTTAATTTACTTAGTTCATGTGAAAATATAAAAAAGAATATCATCAAATTGTTGAATATAATAGAAATCCTCAACGTTTTTCTTCTTCATTCTAGGTTAAATATTACTCCGTAGTTCTAATTTAATTTATAGTTGAACCTTGAGCACTAAGATTTAAACCATATTAATTAATTTGTAAAATTGCACAAACATGATACAACAAAAAGTCATGTACGCTAGCATTACTAGAAATGAAGTCATTAATGATTTTTCTAAAATTTAATATTCTTTCAATACATACCAAGATATAACATAAATTATCTAAAAAGAAAAATAACAATATATATTATAGGGAAAATTACTATTAGCCCCCTCAAGTTATGTCATAATTATTGATGCAACCTTGCATTTTCAAAAAACAATTAGTTACCCCATGTGTTTTGATCATTCTCACTATATCCCCCCTCACATTAATATTTGTTAAAATAAATTTAATATAACTCTTAAATTCAATGAAAGTTGCCTATAAAATTAATTATAAGTCATGTTCTTGATCGTTATTTTCCTACTTATTAGCTAATCGATCATGGAATAACTATTAATGAGACTAGTTTAGAGGAAGACTCACGAGTAATATTCATGGGATGCATCAAAGAAAGTTGTTTAAAAAATGTGTTATCAACACTCTAGACACTTCTTCGTCGTGAATATAAAATAATTATTTGTAATTCATTCGGTTGAATTAATCTTAATGATATTTCATTTGTGTGTAGCAAAGAAGAAATACCAGGAAAAAATGAATTTTATCATTCCATTCCATGACCTAAAAGATAGGTCTAGAATCAATAAGAGACCTGAAAGATAGAATGTGTTGATATAGGATCTGAATAATTGAAAGCTATCGATCTAAGACCTAAAGTATCATAGATTTTGATTTATTTAAATTTTTTATTAACTTTGTTACTAATTTGTGATTATTTAATATTAAATGATATTTAATATTTTAAAATAAAAAAATAAAATTCATGATATTTTATATCTTATTCGTGAGTATTATCCCTTAACTACTCTAAATAATATTTATTCCATGATGAAGTATCTAAGTAGAAAAATAACGATCAACAACAATGTTTTACTTTAAAAATTAATTTCATAGACAATTTTCATTGAATTTAAGAGTTATATTAAATTTGATGTGACAAATATTAACTTGAGGGGGCAAAGAATGAGAATGATCCGAACTCAGGGGGTAATTAATTGGTTTTTGAAAATGCAGGGTTGCATTAATAATTATGACATAACCTCAGGGGGCTAATAGTAATTTTTCTATATTATATATATAAACACACACATTTAGCTATTTTAAGGACGCACAAATACATACTTGGGCTATAAAATTGTTGGTCTATTAAAGAGATCTATTGAATTGGTATAGAAAAATATAAAAAAAATTCAAGTGCATTATTTCCAAACGGTTCGGTCCGTTATTTTCCGGTTCTCAAAATCTAGGACCGTTCTCATACCCGTTTCAAACAGTACAGTTTCGGTACGGGACAAAAATATATAGAACCGTTTAAATACCCGGTATTCGGTTCGGTACCATTACGGGAGGGTTCGGTGCCGGTTCGGTTTGGGTTTTATGCCCGCCCCTAGGATTACGTACTGTTAACCATATGCGTCAAGTATACTTCCGTACATTGATTAATAACTTACCCGTTTTTAATTATTTATTAAATTAAAATTGAGTCTTGTTTTGTGCATTCATAAGTTAGTAGTGTTATTTATGGGAAAAGGTTCTCGAACTTACATAAAAAAGGTCAAGTAAGCCCTTATATAGGAGACTCTGTCCGGCCGTCGCCATTTAGGGCGGTTCCTGATGGAATTTTTTGATGAAATTTTTTGAGCATCTTATTCATTAAGTCTAGTTTATTCATACCAAATTTCAGCTAAAACACAGACATTCAAATTAATTCTAGAAGATAACTGCGCAATTAAAAAACACCCTAGATTGATTTTTTAAAGAGGGAAATCATCTCTTGTGCTTGTCCTTAACAAAATAGGTGTATGAGGCATCATCCATCCGTCTATTAATTAAAATTTATTAAAATTGGAGTGGTTAAAATTTGTTCTTATTTATCACACTAAGAGTTGTTCTTATTGGAAATTTGGAATCACTCGGTTGTGGTTGCAATAAAAGGAGTGCTTAACGTGAAAAGTGTGAAATTGTCACTTTTATTTCGATACACTGCACATTCAGGCTCAAATATTGCAATTTTTCGAAGTGACAAAAATGTTCACCTATTTATGAAAATTTCACCGCATTTTAACCCAATCTACTGCATTTTGGAATCATCACATCTCAAATTCAATACACCAAAATCATTCTATTTTTTCACATCATTAATATTCTCTTTATTTGATAATATATAGGGTCAAATTCACATACAAACTACAAAGTGCTCCTCCCTTACAGGGTGAAAAATCATCTCATGTGTCTGTTGCTATAAGATCAAGAGCTAATAATATGTGGTGCATCCTAACATAAGTGCATTGCGATGCACACTACTACTATGTGTCAAGGATACTTTCATAAATTGATTAATAACTTACCCGTGTTTTAATATGTGCATTCATAAGTTAGCAGTGTTTTTATGTCATTTTTTCATCTATTAATCTATTCAATACTACATCCGTTCTTAAAAAGACGTAACATGTTCAATTTTAAATTATTCACATGTTCTACTTTGACTATCTTTCAGATCCCGAATTGATAAAATTCCATAAATAAATTGATGAAATTCCATAAATTAATAAAATTCCTTTTATGAATGTATTAGAAATTTACAATTTTTTGAAATTGTAAATTTTCATAACATGTCTTTTATAATATAAATATATATATATATATATATATATATATATATATATATATATATATATATATCAGTAGTAAAAGTTGTGTATTAGCAAATGTTAAAATGAAAATGTTGCAGTTTAAAAAGAACGAAAGATGTAGTATATAATAGTCGGGTACTTGCGCGAATTGATTGAATTGTGGTGTAACATGTTCCAAGATCTTGGGCCGCTGAAACACAACAAATCCGGTTACATATTGGTCAGCGCAAATGGAGGCTTAAATCAACAAAGAGTTGCGGTAATATAATTATGCACGCATAGGGTGTGTGTTTGTGTGTGTATATAAGGGTTTTTCTTTAAACATAATTAAAATTGATGCTCAATTTTAAAAAAGTGATCACTTTTACCTATGAAAAAAATGTGTAACAAATTAACATAGAGCCCATTTGGTGACATGTTATGGCAAACTTTTCTCATGTTTTGACAATAAATATATACATACTCCGTAATCAATTTCAATCTAGTTGTCGTCAATTTTGAAAATAAAAATGGTAGCTAGGTAGTGGTTCTTCACTCTGTTTTGGTTTGGGATTGACAGGTGTGCAACGCGGTTGCCGTGGCATCTTTACTTAACGCCACATTGGTCATACCCAAATTTCTTTACAGCAATGTTTGGAAAGACCGCAGGTTCGTAATTACGTACATAGCTGCTAGCTCATAATTATTATTACTATATAATAATCATTGATTTCAAAACTATTAACAATATTTTTGGATTTTGAAGTGTTTTTTATTCACCTCGAGAGTGGATTGATTTTACGAATCACTCAAATTGATTTTGACAGCCAGTTTGAGGACATATATCAAGAGGAGCATTTCATGCAAACACTCAAAGACGACATAAATATCATAAAAGATCTTCCTCTCCACCTCAAACTACTTGACTTGGAAACAGCTAAAAGTGTAGTAAGTATCCTGAGAAACTGAATTACATGCATTTGTATTTTTTGTATTAATAAGTGAAATAATATATAAATAAAAATGATCTAAAATTAAATTTTCCGGATTCCAAACGAAGCCCAACACCAATTTGGTTTCAGATAACTGATGCAGATATATCCAAGGAAGCAAAAGCAGAAGAGTACTTGAGGACTGTACTGCCACTGCTCCAACGCAATGGAGTTGTTCATTTCCTTGGATTTGGAAATAGGCTTGGTTTTCACTCACTGCCCCCCCAATTGCAGGTCACCCTTGTAGAATTAATATTACGTTTCAATTCTATGTTGCAAAAGACTCAAACAGTCATTTCTGAGCAAAGCTCTAGTTTTTTACATTAATTGATCAAAATAAACCAAACAAAACTAAAAAAATCCTTTTTAGATGTTTTCAGTCTCCAAAAATTACTCAATAGTTATAGTACGTACAGATACTAAATTACTTGTGCCAAACCTATTCAAAAGCTAGTCATATTCAACAGCTAGTCAGGGTTAATTTCCCAAATAAACATATCCAAAAATACTAATGTTTATTGCACAAAACCAAAATAAAAATAAAAGCAAACTGATCGAGGAAAATTAATTCAGCTTTAGCAAAGTGTAAAAGATGCTATTTATTTTCATTGTTTCAATGATTTCCAATTCAGGATCAGATACTAATTTATGTCTTAAACCAGATTAAAAATGGGGCAAGTACTTAAATGACTAAAATATACTTCCTCCATCCCATAAAATTCTTTGCGGTTCACTTGGATCGAAGATTTAAAAAATTGAAATAACGTGGAATGTATGATTGTAGTTGAGTAAGAAAAAAGTAAATAAATGTCAACCAAAATATATTCCAAAAGGGAAATGGAAAGAATTTTTTGGGACATCCCAAAATGATAAGTTTGAAGAATTTAATGGAATGGATGGAGCATTTTTATCTTTAAAAATCTTTCAAGAAAAATATTTTCTAAAACGAAAGGAGCCTTATATTACCTAACAATATTTGAAAAATCTTGTTTGGGGTTACGTTCCGAACAAACTCTTACTCCAAAAAAATTGACATGTTTTTGTTAAAAATGGTATCTGCACAGAGATTATATTACCTAAAATAGGTTTTATTATGCTGGATCTTGACAAACAAAAAAATACAGACCAAGAACAACATGTGAAATGTTTTATTTGTTTTCCTTCAACTCATTATTACTGTGAATGAACCAATGGCAGAGACTGAGGTGCAAATGTAACTTCCATGCCCTAAAGTTTGTACATAAGATTCAAGAAGCTGCATCTCTACTGGTGACACGAATAAGAAAACACACTGGCAGTAAGAGCATGCTAGACAAGCAACTATTGGGAGAAGTTATAGCTAATGATCGCCCCGGGATTGAGCTTAGAAATACCAAGTACTTGGCTTTGCATTTGAGGTTCGAAATCGACATGTTGGCTTACTCAATGTGTGAATTTGGTGGTGGTGAAAGTGAAACCAGGGCACTCAAATCTTATAGAGAAGCCCATTTTCCTCTGCTTCTTGAAAGACTAAAGAAATCAAGGCATGTTTTATACTAATATAAAAATACCCCTGTCTAACTCGACAAAATCATGTCTTGTGAGGTATAGACATTTGAGTAGTGTGTATCGGGCTGCAGGGCCATTTCTCCCAAGGAACTAAGAAGCAGGGGAAGATGTCCATTGACACCAGAAGAAGCAGCGCTTGTTCTTGCTAGCCTTGGTTTCAAGGGTGAAACTTACATATATCTTGCTGGTTCAAATATTTACGGAGGCGAATCTAGAATGAAGCCTTTAACCAGCCTCTACCCCAATCTAGTCACAAAAGAGAATCTTCTATCGCCTAGCGAACTTGCTCCTTTTCGAAACCATTCTTCTCAGGTATTATGACCTTCACATAGTTGGCTGGGTTAAACCACCATAACAAGAGTGGTCAAAAGTCATTCTTTTCACTTTATGTGCAACCTGGTTTGCAGCTTGCAGCATTGGATTTCATCGCATGCGCAACTGCCGACGTATTCGCCATAACTGACTCAGGAAGCCAGTTTTCATCTCTCGTTTCTGGGTTCAGAACATACTACGGAAGCGGGCACGCTCCGACGTTGAGGCCAAGCAAGAAGAGACTAGCTGCCATTTTGTTGGAAAACAAGACCATTGACTGGAGCACCTTTACGGAACGAATACGACGAATGATTGATGAAGGCCAAACACTGGTTGGCCTTGCTCAAAGCAGCAGCATCTATCGGCATCCAAGATGCAAAGAATGCATGTGTACATTTCAGTAGATACTTGCATCAATCCGTCAGGTTCAATCCCCAAGTAATTCAATTCAATACCCCCAACTTGTATCATATCTGTTGGGAGTAAAAGAATCATCTTTTCAGATTCAATCTGAAAACAGGGATCCCAGTTTGTAATACGAACTCATTACATGTCTTGAGAAAGGAAAGTAACAAAAAAAAAAGGATGAAGCCTAAGTAGATGAGTTTAGGATGAAGATCATATATTTAGTTCACATCAAAACATTTCCACATTCATACTATATTCCATATTTCCACTCCATGCTGATAAATCACAATAATTATGGTATTATATCTTTTGATGAGGTCATATTAGCATTTACATACGTCTGACATGGTGGTGGTGTTCTGCATCTACTCCTCGCAGCAGCACATATGTGATCAAGATCTTCTGTCCAGCTTCTTGTCACAGGATCGCTTCTCTTCTACTTCTTTCCTTTTTTGTTGCCTAAAACAAACCAAAAATATTGAATGATTGTTTGAAACAATCACGAGGTGGAGAGGATCTAGCAAATTTGTGGCACTCAGTTTCAAAAGCATCCACAGTGGAATTTAAAAATCCATCTACTTGTATTACATGTGGATAGTTACTATCCATCCGTTACATTTTTTAAACTCTTCGAATCACTTCTAAAAAACCTGTAGATCAAATTTTCCTCATAGATGCCATATTGCGCACACACATAATATGCCAAAGTATATCAGGTTCAAGCATCTCTACGCATGAAAAGTGAAGAAAATGATAGATTGGACATCCATCTGTGAAAAAAGTGTTAATGAATGGATGTATTTTTATATTAAAACGGATGATGGATGAATAAGATCTCTTTAATGATTTTTTTATGGATCATAAATGATAAATCAATAATTTTCAATCCATCCAGTATAATCTGACTAAAAGATTGTCCGATCTATCCATCCACTTGATACCCACATTGTAGGCAATTATATAATTTATATTTACAATGTCTGCGGGGAACAATCTCCTATCAAGATAATTTACAGCAGCAATTCATTCCTAAATTCCTAGGATATCTAACAAACTTGAAGAATGATAGCAAGAAGTATGATTGGTGTAAAAGTTGTACCACTTGGTAGATGTATGGACAAGTATATACAAGAGGTCAGTCCAATGCTAGTAGTAGTTCTAAATAATCTATACAACTAGAGTAATCGAGGAAGAAGCTCCACGGGCCCGTGACACTTCTGCCTTTCGTACTATTTATTAATCAATAATCATTGTACCCACTCTGTCCTGCTTTAGTAGGCCACATTTGACTTCGGACCTCAAATATGTTGAACTTTGCAATATTTTGAATGATAAACTTCAGTGAAATTTATCAATGGTGTACTTTTACAAGTGAAGTCCTAACAAAGAAACATTATTACATTACTTTCTCAAGATAAACCATTCTGCATAAACATATGTTACCTCTGTGCCACTCAACTTTGCCAAGTTGATGTTGGGTGGGAAATTGGAATAGTAAAAACTATGTGGTTGAGGTTTGTGCAGAGGAGAAAAATGAACTGACCACAAATTTATTGCTTTAAAAGGAGAGTGGCAAAGCTTTTTGGGACAAACAAAAAAGGAAAGTTGGCAAAGTCTAGTAGGACAGAGGGAGTAATATTTGTTAACAATTGAAAACCTTTGAGAAGAAAATTCAAATGACGGCCTATTAAAATGCGATAGAGGCATGCATGCATACCTTTGTACACACACATGCATATATGTAATAGTAACATAAGTAACGCCATAGTCGAGAAAAGATGAAATCTTATGTATATGATATGTGAAACTTACGCAAAAGCAGCATATCCGCTACCAGCAGATAGCAAAGCTGCATGTGCGCCAACAGCTGATAATGTATCTCTACGATCAACATCCACCTGAAAACACGCAGGCAAGAGTAGAGAGTTCAGATAACCTTTTGCTACATTAAACTTTAACATAATCTAGAGAAGTGAAAATATGAAAACCTTATCCCATTTTGACTTTTTGTTGTGTCGGCTGTCCCGAGCTATAACATCAACAGATGTTGGTGCTGCATTAAATCCAGTACCTGCCACAGTAGCAGTAAAATGATCAAAGACAGATTATTGTTTAATTGTTTAGTTTTGGGATTTTGGAGAGGCAGGGTGGGATTGATTTTTCTACTATTTTTTTTCTAATATTTAGTCTCAAGTTTGAAGAAAAAAACTCTATAATTAGTTAAAAAGTGTACTACTCCCTCCGTCCAGGAAAATTCTTCCTGATTTGACTTGGATCGGAGTTTAAGAAAGTGGGAATAAAGTGGAAATATATGGTTGTGGTTGAGTAAGAAAAAAGTAAAAGAATGTCGTAGCCACAGAAATCTTTCCAAAAAGGGAAATGGGAAGAATTTTTTGGGACATCCCAAAAAGTAAGTGGGAAGAATTTTTTGGGATGGAGGTAGTATTATATAAACTTCATCTTCACATTCTTCCCAAATCCCAACCATCTAACATCTAGAATAAATTAATAAAACAAGTGCTAAAATACCTGGGAGTGGCAGATTGGGTTTCCCCATAGTAACTGTCCCAGGCTGTGTTCCTCCAGAGATGAAGTCAACTTTTGGACTATTCCTCCTTTCTTGCTCCTTCCTCTCCATTCCGCGCCTGATATCAGCCTCTGTTAAAACAATTAACAGGGAATTGGTCTCCTTTAGGGTGTATTTGGAACTCAGAACATTCTAGGGAAAGAAAATAGAGATATTATACAAGGAATTTGGAAGGAAAGAAAATGTGAGGGGAGATAAAAGTGTGGTTCAAGAGCAGCCTCCTTTATGGCAACCATGGCCGGATATGTTGTCTTCTCCTCCATCACCAACTATCTTATTTTCCGTGCTCCCAATTCCGCTTCTCTAATCTCTATTACACTCTTCTTTCAACAGTGTATCTTTCGAAGACAACCACGGAGTGCAATAACAGACCATCTATGCCATTTCAAATCACGAATCCTCTCACGCTCTCACGGTGGTCGCTGCTGCCAAGAAAGACGTTGCTATACTCAAGGGCAGTCATCAAGAGAACTTTTTCTTCGTTCACAATCCCAAACAACTAATAGCTCCATGGAGGCCAAGAGAGAGATATTTTCAGATCCCATTAGCATCACTATTTTCATGTCTGGGAATGAAGGGTTCAAGAAAATGTTCTCTGTTGTCTTTCTCTCTACGTATCTGTTAATTGGCAGATTCTTCGGGTGGAAAAGTTGACACGTCCAAGGGAGTGAAAGAAATAAAAAGATAAAGAAATTGGAAGACCATAGAGAGACAAACATGAACACCAAAGAAGAGTAAAAGACTAAAAGAGGGAAAAAGTAAAAGAAAGAAGGGAAGATGATGATAACAAGACAAACATGTGTTTGGTGATGATGTGACAGTAGTGTGGAAATGATGTGGCTAGTGCTACGGATGTGATGTTAGTATTTTACATGCTATCCTAGGTAAACCGGGTCCAACTGTTGTTTGCTTGTGGGTCGACATTTTGTAAAATATGTGAGTTTGTAGTTCAAACAATATGATGGAATAAAGCAAAATGGCTCACTAAACTGTTTGCGCTTCTTTGTTTTGAAGAAGAAGCAGTCAGTCCATGCAATTTTGGACGCGATTTTCACTATGGGTCATCCGGAAACAGTCTCTCTATGCTTTAGTACAGGGGTAAGACTGCATACATCCGACCCCCTCCTACCCCACCGTAGGTGGCAGCCTTTGCGGCACTGGGGTATATGAAAATGATGATGATGTAGTTCAAACATTATGATCTAATCATCATCACACTCGTGACTCATCATTTTGATCTGATAAAAACAGCACCTCATCTTCCAAACTCTAGCCACTCATTCACTCCATGGCGGCGGTTCAGGAGAGGGGCGGACCAACAACACACCATCATCTTCCTCCAGGCCCAAAAGATCGTAGGCCTGGTCTAGAACATCAAACAAACTGCTACTACCTAAGTCCCTGGCTCCCTGCGTTCTGCTCCAAGCCTAGCTGACCACGATTTCATGACGCCGAACACCTTGAAAACCAGTGCCGCCGAGTTGTGTCGCCGTTCAAGCCAGAAAATACTAGACTTAATGCTAGTTTCGTCCGCTTTCTACTCAATTGCTTATAGTTAAAAAAGTTATACTCTCGAACTTGTTGTATTCTTAATGTTTATTGTTATTCTCGCATTTTTATTCACTCAGACTTGCTTCAGCTATTGATAGAATGCAATAAATCATAAAAATTGTCTATCCGCTTAATAAAGAGTAACATTCTATAATTACTCTGAAACAGAAGGTCACCCATCAGGACATTCAGTTGAAGGTTGAAACATGTAAAAACAGGAGTTCACTAACCAATTTCATCATAAAAGTCACAACTGTCATATCCATGTGGGTCGAATACATCTTTACTGAAGCAGGTTCCTATCTCATCAATGCCTTGATATTGCACTGCATGCCGCAGGAAATCAGGATTTCTATACTCCTTTCTATTCCGCACTTCTGCATTAAAGCTTCTTCCAGTAGTTTTCTTTAATTCTAGAAACCTATTAATCTTTTGCTGTTGAAAAAAGGAATCAAGAGAAAATCTAGCTTAGTTGCAGGAATTTCAAATGGAAAGTAAAGTCATATCTAAATGGAATAAATAACACATTAAATTGATTAAATAGGGGCATAACCCATATATAATGATGATGAAAGCCAACTAGTCAAGAGAATATCGAAGAGAGGGTTCAAATGCACATCCATGCTAACCCACCGGCTACTGCCATTCTCATCCTCATTATAGGCTTCAATGTTTCATAAATCATGACACTAACAAATAATTACCAGCATTTAAGAGACAGTTCAAGACATTACACTGAACCACACTCAACCACAATCACCTTAAGATTTACAAAGGATGTACCAAATTACAAACAAGCAGCTAGCACCATGAACCCTACTCGCAATGAACACACAACAATACAACAAGTCTTGAAAACCACTGTAACCTAAAGAACTCGTAAACCTCATGTGTTGTTTAGCAATCAGTGGGCGGAGAATACCTAATACTCCCTCGGTCCCATTTTGTAAGATGTCTTTCCTATTCACTTGGTCAACAGAAATCACTCTTCATCTCTTACTTTATATATCAAATTTTTATCAAATTTGATTCTGATTTTTGCGACTTTGTAAAGCTTTTAATGTTGTTTCTGAATATGTAATTTTTTTAAAAAAATATTTTGAGTGCGGACAGGGATCCGTTTGCTTTATCATCAGTCAAACATCGTAAACCGTAAAGTATCTTACAATTCGGGATGGAGGGAGTAGCGTATTGTGTTAGCAGCTTTGACAAGCATGCATCAATCATGGTTCTGTTGAAAAGTATTCCATAAAATTAATTGTTCAAACTTAGAGATTAACATGTAAAATGACGAACAACTTAATGTCATCGAGATATCATGTCTTACAATTACACTATGTTTTTAAAAAAAAGTATTAAAATAGCTGGCCAAATTTAAGAAACATTAATAATTTAAATAATGAATGAGCCAGTTAAAAGCATAGTTCGAAATTGCACATTAGAATCGAGCCTTGAGGCGCACCTCAGCAATTTTCACGCTTTCTGCGATTAAAGGCATATCTACTTTTACCCCATAGGAAGGCTGACGCCTTTTATGGGTGAGGCGGGGATATAAGGCGTACGATATACATCACGATAAAGGCATACGCAATGAGTCTGCCGTTTAAATTGACTAATCGGATCCGGCTTTATTTGTAACTCAATAACTATTTCAATAATTGATGGATACTTATCTCTTCTTCTCATGCATCTGGCAATCCCTTGATAGAGTCTCAGACAGCCCGGACATCCCTGATATTAATTAAAATAGGAATTTCTCCAGTCTATAAAAAAGGAGCAAAGTGGTCAAAGAGACAGCTGAGAGTGGTGGGAATCAAATAACTGAATAGCTGAGGTGGCATGTCCAACGTGACGAAAGAATAAAGACAGAAAAGGGGGGAGCAAGGGGATTCTGATGGTCAGTTGGATCTGGGCAGGAGAGATGGACACTCTCAAAATTGTCTTCTTCATTTCCTCCTGTAATTCCTAGAATTCTGATCATATTTACTTTCAATATACCTATATTTCAGCTGGAATGTTTTGTTACCTATCATCCCTCTCATCTCATATTTCTCTCGCCTATCTTTCTCTGTCAGTCATCTCTGAGAGTCCAAGGTAAGCTTTACTTCATTAAAAAAAATTACACTTGCTCTATTGTAAGCTCTGCGCCTCTCATATCTCTGTCAGTGCGTTTTTATCATAGCATCAACAAGGGCCTTTTTTGTGACTCATCCTCAACAACGGTGGTCTATGACTTTTTTGTATTACTCCATAAGCTTCGTGCCTGTCCCTTTTTATGTATAACTCCTTAAGTATGTTTACTCTGTGTTTGTAATTGTTTGTATACATGTTCAATGTTTGTCATTATCTATATTCAAAATTTTATTTTATTTGTATTGATGTTTTACTTTTTATGTAAGTTGAGTTCATCATTTGAATTTTAATTGCATACGTAAATATGATGCAACTTTTGCGATAAATAGACGGACGACAAGAGGGAATAGCAGATTTAAATGCCCTACAAATTAGGATTTACGCCTCAGTCTTACACCTCATCGATGCAACTTTTGCAATAAAGGCTTACACAATACGCTTTTAAAAAATCTCAAAAACTACGCAATACACAATTTAAAACATCAATTAAAAGGGCGGGACCAATCATAAAAAAGGGGTCTTGGCACTATATCATCTGTTAACAAATATAGAGAGAAAAATAATCTAAATATTTTGAAAAACTAATTAACTCATATATTAGAATATTTGCTTTCAGTCATTCCAACAATAAATAACTCTATCAAATGAGGCCATTAATCATTAATAAATAGATTTTTACTTGAGCCACATAAAACTTTTTTCCTAATCAATGTTAAATGTGGCCCTAAGGGTTGTGATTAGCATTTGCCTAAGGGCGAGTTTTGAGGCACACCTCAAGGTGAGGCGTACAGAGAAGGCATCAAGGCTTAGGTTTTTTTTGCGGGTCAAGAGGCTTACGCCTCAAAAGTTGACGCGTACACCTTGAGATGCGCCACGAGGCGTTTTCTGAGGCATAATTTCCTTTGTTTCTATCTTTTAATGGGTTGTAACTTAAGAAAGGCCCAGTATATTTTATTTAAAAGGAGGCCCATTTATTAAACATGTGTCCATAGTCCACGCTAAACCCCTAACAAGTCTTGTTTCATTTACAGTATTCACTAAATGTTAAAATGCTTGCATACTTCTTCTGCACAAAGAAGATTTCATTCTCCTGCACAAAGATGTTGACAATTTCATACACACTCCATTCTTCAAGGTAATTTCACTTCTCCTCATCTATTCCTCTTTTTCAACATATCTTCTACTCCTCTTCTTCAACATCTCTTTTCCTTCTTCATCTACTCTCCAACACTTCTTCTTCTCCTTCTCTCCTCTCCTTGTACTGAGTTGTTGGTCATATTTTGATAAGAACTGAAATACTCTGAAAGTTTTATTGAAGAAAATTACTGAATCCTGGAACACAATGATCAGGAAGATTATTTGTTGAAAGAGAAAAACAAGTTGGAAGCCTTTCGAGAGGGCCCCTCTCTCCAAAACCAATCTATCCAAATTTCCCGATGCCTATTCTCCTCCCTCGGTTTCCCGTTTTATTCCCAAATCTGCCGACCCAGCTCCCCCCATTAATTATGCTTTTACTCCTTTGCCCTTTTATTTCTCCTACTATAAACTCTGGAAAAATCCCTTTCATTATTAATATCTAAATGGGCTGGGTTCTCATCACTACCCCTCCCTTCAAAATTCACCTTGTCCCCAAGGTGAAAATTGGGAAACAATGATTGAAACTCAGACAACTCTTCCCAGGAATCTTCAAAACTAGGCAAATCCTTCCAGTGAACTAATATCTCCTTACTCCCATTGATAGACTCTCTAGCAGCCAACACTTCTTCAGGTTCTGTTTGAAGTTCCCACTCCTCCGTTAAGCATCCAGGTAGAGGTTGAGTAGGAATGTTAGGAACCACAGTTTTCTTCAACAAAGAAACATGAAACACCGGGTGTACCTTACAATCATCTGGCAGTTTTAACTTGTAAGCCACTGGATTTATTTTTTTCAATGACTTCAAAAGGGCCATAAAATCTTGGGCTTAGCTTCTGGTTCAGCCTTTTTGCCAGACTTTTCATTTTGTATGGTTGTATTTTGAGAAACACCCTATCTCCAACTTCCAACTGAACATCCCTTCTGTTTTTATCCGCCTGTTGCTTCATTCTATTTTGAGCCATGGCTAGATTTTGCTTCAACTCCTTGATCATTTCATTTCTTTCTGCTGTGAGTTTGGTTACTTCTTCAACTGCTGTCCTTGTAGCATCTCCCAAGATTAAAGTTGGAGGCTCATGGCCATATAAGGCTTTGAAAGGAGAAGTCTGCAGTGAGGCGTGATAATTGGTATTATACCAAAACTCAGCCCAAGGTAACCATTGGGGCCATTTCTTAGGTCTGTTACCAGTGATACACCTCAGATACGTTTCCAGACAACGATTAACCACTTCAGTCTGCCCATCCGTTTGAGGGTGATAGGCGGTACTGTATTTTAGTTTGGTACCTGCAAGTTTAAAAAGTTCAGCCCAAAATGAACTCAAAAATAGACTATCACGATCTGATACGATGGTCCTGGGAAACCCATGCAGCTTCACCACCTCCTGAATAAACAACTCAGCCACACTCTTAGCCGTATAAGGATGGCCCAATGCCAAAAAATGGGCATATTTGGTTAGCCTGTCAACCACCACTAGTATGGTGTCCTTACCCATCGTTCTAGGTAATCCTCCAATGAAATCAAGGCTAATATCAGTCCAAATATGATCTGGAATCGGCAAAGGTTGCAGTAACCCAGCAGGACTTAGAGCCTGGTACTTGTTCCTTTGGCATACCTCACAACTCTTCACATAATCTTGGATATCTTGCCTCACTCCCTCCCAGTACAGCACACTAGATATTCTTTTCAATGTTCTGAGGTACCCTGCATGACCCCCACAAGCTGAGTCATGGAATTCTTTCAGCACTTGATTGATTCTCGCAGATTTCTTGGGCAACATGAGTCTATCTTTGTAGTAGATTAACCCTTTTCTCAATTTAAAACCTGGTTGAGATTCTGGTTGTGACACCAGGTTCTGAATTAATTGATTGCACCTGGTATCCTGCAACAATTCCTCCTCTAATCCCTGCCATTCCTGGAAACTCACCACTGAAAGAGCCTGATAGCTAGCCTTCCTAGACAGTGCATCCGCGGCTCTATTCTCCAAACCCGGTTTATATTTAATGCTGAAATTGTATCCCAACAGCTTTGTGATCCACTTTTGTTGCTCCTCACCCATTAACCGTTGCTCCATTAGAAATTTCAAACTTTTCTGGTCTGTGTGGACTTCAAAACTCCGGCCCATTAGGTATGGTCTCCATTTTTGCACTGCCATCACGATTGCTAGCAGCT